GGGGGGGGGGGGGGGGCAGTTCTAGAGGAATGATACCCAAGTTATCCTCTGGCCTCCACATGCACATACATAAACATACATACATACTAAAAACCTTAACCTAAGTGTTCAAAATGTGTAAGTTATAATATTATAGAACATTAATTACAATGATGTGGAATACTTATTCTCATACAAGCACCATGTGATGCTTATCATACACATCTTGCCTGGCACTTGAGCATAATATACATGTAACATACTGGCTAGTACAATTTAAAGAGCAAAGAATCAGGGGCTGGAGAGATGGCTCAGTGGATAAAAGCACTGGCTGCTCTTGCAGAAGACCTGGGTTCAGTTCCCAGGACCCACATGGTGGTTAACAACTCCAGTTCCAGGGGATCCAATGCCTTCTTCTAACCTCCAGGGGCACTGCACGACTCGGGTGCACTACATACATGCAGGCAAACACATAAAATAAAAATGGTATTTTCTAAAAAGAGCAAAGAATTGCCAATTTAAAGAAATTAGAGGGGTTGGAGGGATGGTTCACTGGCTACTCTTGCAGAGGACCCAGGTTCAATTTCCAGTACTCACATGGCAGCTAACAACCATCCATAACTCAAGTTCCAGGGGATCTGATGCCCTCTTCTGTCCTCTGTGGGTACTGTGTGACACAGGTACACTTACACACGTGCAGGCATAACACTCATACATATAAAAATTAAAAAATTTAAAAAAAGAGAAAACTTTTGTAAGAACACTAAAGATATCAGGCATAAACAAGCTTTATTTGAATATCTGAACAAATCTGATTGATGTCAACTGGCAAAATTTTACAAAGGGTTAAAGTTTACTGCATGGTAAAACTTGGAGGTTTGCTTTGGTCTGTCTGAATTCAGTCAACTGACCTGTCATTATTAATTGGCTGCTCTCACTGCTGTTTGAACTGCCACATCTCTCAAGTCCAAGAGTGGTACTTCCCATTTTTCTGGAAACTTCTTACAGTGCTTTCATTTACAACAGAAGGGTAGGACTTCTGGTGCTCATCTCTACTCCTTCAGCAGCAATCCACCTCCGTCCCTCAATTCCTTAGTTTACACTGTGGCTGCTTACAAATAGTATGCAAATGGGATCTTAATATTAACATACAAAAATACACGCTCTATTGACACAACAGTAACTTCACTTTAATTTTTTCATTAAGGAATTATTTATTTTTCTCCTCCAGTAAGCTAAAAAGAAATACCTGTAAAAACATTGAAAATGTACTTTAAAATCCTGGACTGATATGACACATTTTATATGATGTACAGAGAAGACTAAGATGTTCAATTCCAAGAGTTAGAATTTCTGAACGATTCAGATAGAAATCTACTAAAAGGAACCAGAAAGACTTTCTATTTTGGAGTGGGGGTGGGGGAAGGATACAGCTCCATAGCATAGCCCATGCTTAGTATGTACAAAACTCTGGATTCAAGCCCCAGCATCGAAGGGAAGAAAAGAGGATTTTATATTTAATTCCAATTAAGTTTTGAAAAGATTTTATATTTAATTCCAATTAAGTTTAATGTACGTTTGTTGACAGGCACTAGTGACGAGATTAATCTGTAATGTAGACATTTGTATGCTGGGACTACCATGCCCTTCCACGAAACTGATTGAGATGTTCCTGATTTTCTTCCTTATACTTCATATAAAAGTACAAATACACATATGGTAAAAGATGCACATAGTACAGAAAGACCAAAATAACAACATCTTCTTATAACATGGCAAACTGATGTATTCAAAACTTTTAAATAGTTATATGTAGGAGTAATTCACAAACTAAAGTCGACCTTTGTTCTGCAAATATTCTCAGGCTTGTGGAACTGTGTTGCTTGTCTCTCTAATACCTCTGTACAGAGGAAAGACACAGTCTTCTCTTTTATAAAGAAGATTAAAAGGGCAACATGTACAAGCTGTTCAGAGTCAGCAAAGTCCGGTCCTCAGACATCTAGTCAGTGGCTCCAGAAGATCCCAGGTATCATCCCTGAAATTTAGGAATCACATTTACTAAAAAGGCACTGTTTATTTATTTTTATTTTATGTGCATAAGTATTTTGCCTGCACGTATGTAAGTGTACAATGCCTATGGAGACCAGAAGAGGGTGCTGGATCTTCTGGAACTGGAGTTACGAATGGTTGTTAGCCGCCATGTGGGTGCTGGGAACTGAACCAGGGTCCTCTGCAAGGGCAGTCAGTGGTCTTAACTGCTGAACCATCTCTCCAGCCCTTCATTTATTTATTTTTTTTAAATAAGGCAGTCAAGAAAAGGCCAAACCTTTACTAAGCAAGGGATAAGTCCCCTAGGAAGGGACTAAGCAAGGGATAGAGGACAACCCCTTCATCACGGTCCCTACCCCCAGCAATGAGAAGGAAAGACTCACAGAGACACTGCTGGGAACTCAACCGAGTCCTTCCTGGATGCCTCGGATCCTTCTGGCCAGCTGCACATCTTTGGGGAACAGAGTGACTCGGCCAGCATGTAAGGAGAGGAGATAGGCGTCCTCAAAGAGGTGAACTAGAAATGCTTCTGCTGCCTGAGGCAGAAAGAGAAAAAGAGACGTGGATGAAGGGCCTGGACTGGTTTTTCTTGGAGAATTGCTGTACTTTAATCAAAGAACTGAGGGAAAGACTTCAAGAATGGGGCTAAACTCTGCTGACCACCCATCAGACCCCCTCTAAACCCTCAGGTGTTGGTGCTCTTTTCAGGAGGCCAGAATCAGCCAGTAGCACCCCAGAGGCAGTCCTGTGGAATTCTGGGATGTTCTTCCTTCCCTCAGCCTTCGCCTAATTGTACCTTCCCCTTCTTACCTCTTGAAGGGCTAACAAGGCCTGGGCTTGCCAATAAAAGTCTACACCACGACTGAATTTAGCACATATTTCTCTTACCTGTGGAGGAATGGGATGGAGATGAGTAGAGAATAACAAAAGAGAGACTGAATAGCAGACAGACTTTCTTCAAGTGTCTCCATTGCATATTCATTTCCATTACTGTCTTGGCTCTTGATCTTAGGGCCTGGCTCAGAACAGTTCTTGATTCCTGGCGGCTTAGCAATGGGCACAGCACATGGGTAGTGAGGGGAAAAGGCAATCTCCAGGGGAGGGAAAGAGATTACAGAGTAGGGACAGATGAGCAGTTTCTATTCTACAGTCAAAGGCAGCAAGTAGGAATTAACAGGATAAGGAATTGCAAGATGCCCTTTCAAAAGATGTATAGTCCCCTACCAGGTTATAGAAGATGTCCCTCCTCGGCCAGCTTACTGAGAGACAGAAGGGTCTCGCTCACCCTGGGAGACTTGGGAGACTTAAAGAAACAAGAGAGGGTCCCCAGAGCTCACCAGGAGGCTGAAAGGCCTTTTCCTTAACAAAAGATCTGTGCTCTTCTGCAGCTTCCGGACTTCCTTAAGCCAGACATTTCTCCGCCTATGGAGCTGACGACGGGGAGTGCCTGAGCAAAAGAGTTGAGTTATGAAGGGAAAGCCCAATGGAAAATAAGTGGGACTTTGCAGTGTGACTGGGACAAAGCATCAAGTCAACAGGCTTGAGCATTAAACTATACTCCATATATCAGGAACATGGGTCTGTTTTATTCATAGCTGTTGACATCAGCAACAGCAAATAGGTGCTAAGGGAATACTTGTTAAATGAATGCCTGAGCCTCTAAGGTTTGAGTATTAACTTCCATGAAGCCTTTCCCAAACCCCAGGACCTTCCCAACAGAGGAGCTGCCTCCCTCCTCTGGACCCCATATCTTTCCCACCTAAGTTGGAAAGTCAGTTATTTTGGTTTTAAGCCTTTTTGTTTTTAACAGTTGGAAGGAATCAGACATTATCTGGTACAAATCCCTTGTCTCAATTATCTTGGAGCCCAGAGAAATAAAGATAGTTGACCAGAGCTCATTAGAGGCCAAGTTGGGACCCTTGCAGTGGTAATTTGGTGCTAGTGTCAGGAATATGTGCTATGGGATCAGAGCCTTTAGTATAAATTCTAGTTCCAACAACAAAAAGAAAGAAAAAAAATATTTAAAACATCCCCCAAAGTAGAAATTTTAAAAATTCAAATTTTCTCATTGGAAATGAAAAATACAAAATAAAAAAAAAATCTGGGGGCTGGAGAGATGGCTCAGCAGTTAAGAACACTGGCTGTTCTTGCAGAAGACCTGGGTTCGAACCCCAGCACCCACATGGCAGCTAACAACTGTCTGTAACTCCAGTCCCAGGGGATCCGACAGCCTCTTCTGTCCTCCGCAGGCATTCCATGACACGGGTGCACTTACCTACATGCAGGCAATACACGCATACATATAAAATGAAAAAAAAAAATCTGACCTGGGGATGTACCTCAGTGGTACACCGCTTAGTTAGCATGCACCCTGCCAAGGCCTCAATCCCCGGCAACATAAAAAAGAAAAAAAAAATCTAATCCCAATAATGTTCAAGAGGAAACTTAACTGAAATTAAGACTACTATATATATATATATATATATTTTTTTTTTTCTTTTTTTTTCCTGTCTAAATTCCAGGGGGCCTGGAATTAAAAATGTAGACCAGGATGGCCTTAATCTCACAAAGGTCTGTCTGCCTCTGCCTCCTAAGTGCTGGGATTAAAGGTATGTACCACCACGCCCCTCATAAAGACTATTTAAGATGAATAATATAAAAATATGCTTTTCAAAACCTATGAGATATAACCAAAACAGCACTAGAGTCAAATGACTAGCCTGAACTATATCTATTAAAAAACAATGGATGAACTCACAGCAGCCTGTGTACGAGCTGATGCCCTCTCTGGTGCTCAGGTGCACCTACCCACCCACCTACATACACATTAATTTAAAATACTAAATCTTAAATTAGTGAAAATTGCCTAATAAGTGAAAATGAAAAATAAGTAAATAGTATAAACAAGGACCAATAAAAATGAAAAAACTTCTAATTAGTTGAACAGCATGGCTAAGACAAACAACAAAACAGCATTTTAGCTGGAGATGCAACTCAGTGGTAGGGTATGACTCTGGGCTCTATCCCCAGTACTGAAAAAGACAACAAAAAAGATAGCATTTTGAAGGACAAAATTAGCTTCAGAAAGGTTATTCACACGGCCAAGAGTCCAGACCATCTGAAAGCTGCGGTAGTTTATTCTGGGCCCTCTGTCTGTCTGTGCCATTCTTGTGTCTTGTGATACCAGATCCCATACATTGTGAGCTGGCCAGGCCTCATTGAACGACCTGATGGCACCCCTGCCTGGGTAAAGTTCTTCCTTCCCCTGAGTAATCCAACTGCCCCCTCCACCTCTGCAGGTCCTCCCTCTCAGACCAGAGGTGGAAGAGAAACCCATTCTCCAGGGAAGCACAGAGGAGAATGACATCTTTACCCCGCCCTACTCCTCACAGACAGGCACCCTCCCAATGGCGCCACAAGTGCAGGCCCCGCCTCCTAACCCTGAGGAGCCACCATCACTTCCACAGGGACCTGTGCAGGCCACACGGAGCCGGAGGGGGGTGGCCCCCAAGCCTGACACCATTGTCCTCCTCCTCCAGCCGGCAGGGCCCCCAGACACAGAGGGCAATCAGCCCTTTCATTACTGGCCCTTTGCTACCAGTGATCTTTACAATTGGCGCTCACAGAATGTGCCTTTCTCTGAAAACCCCAAGGACTAGATTAACTTATTGGAAACTGTTCTCTTCACTCACCAGCCCACCTGTGACGATTGCCATCAGCTCCTGAGTGTCA